GGGGGGCGCCCGGTATTTTTGATAATAGCGGTCATCAGCAGCTTCTGAGCCGCTGATGACAGCTATTAATTTAAAGGGGACAGTCTGCTGAACAGTTATACTATAAGCTGATGGTCGCTAAAGCGACCATCAGCTTATAGTAGAACTGTAAATGCCAGGTCCGTATGGCATACTGACCTGGCCAGCTGGAAGCACTTTTGTAGGTCCGTATGCCATACGTCCTTGGCAGCGAAAGGGTTAAATGACTATAAACTACTGCATGAATAAAATAAATAAATACACTTAACTCCCCCATCACTAATAAACCATGCTTCACTGCCTGTAAAAAATAAGATCTATTGCAACCCTAGAACTTAACCCAAGATCTGAAATAGACTGTTTTGCCTGTTCTTTGGGCCTATGTTTATAATGTTAACAACTGAATACCCATCTGTGTTAATAAGCCATGCTGATGTCATAGTTTTGCTTTTGTGTTTTTATAGGGAGTTCTGCCTTTGGGCTACAGAGCAAGACTCAAGGAAAAGGCAGCTGCAACAATCTCATGGTCACCAGCAGTCCGATGATGGTGCAAAGACTGGGCCCAATATCTCCTCTAGCAAACCAGGCTGCAACAGCGTGCAATCAGATCAGCCCCAGCTTACAGAGGAACCTTAACCTCCAGCACTTAGCAATACCTCCATCTGATACCAGGTCTTTATCATTGTTCTCTCACTTTAACAGTAACAGTGAAAATACAGTTCTTTCATAAGTAACATAAATATGTAATGTTTCATGCAATTATATTTTAATGTGGTACCACCTAGGACTCTTGGCTCACTAGTTATGTGCCATGATACATATGGAGCACAAGCTATAAGGCAGGACCTTCCAAACCATTTCTCCGATTTCTCCGAGGCTCCCAGCTGACCACATTTTCTGGTGCTCTTCAGAATCACCGGTGAAATAATGAGTGTGTATCTTTTACACAGTGACCAATCTAGGCAGCTTTGTAACTGCCTGGAAGTCTGGAAGCCATATTATTTTGGTGGTCCTTAGGGTTAGAGTTGAGAAACACTTGTGTAAGGAATACTGGGCCTCAAGCCTGAATGTTTTTATAAATGATCTGAATGAAAACAGTGCCTTGGTTGTCTGTAACACCTAATCAGATTCAAAATGGCAGCTTTCCACTACTGGCTGAGACAGTAAAAACAAGAATGGTGGCTATACGCTACTCAGCCAATTTACTCTTGGACACTTTTGAGATGTTTACAGGCTCATTAAATAAGGCATAGAGCAGAATCATTGATGAAGATATATTTTTGTGTGAAATCTTCTGAGTCACCAGTGTTATTGCTGTGTATAAGGACAGCAGAGGGTGCTGCAGAATAGTGATGAAATATATCTCTATCATGTGTTATTTCTCAAACTAAACTTCTACTTTTAGTATCAGGACTAATAATGACAACCAATTGCCACCACATGTACAATTAGTGTAATTTCAGAAAGTATTACACCAACATTCCTTTATACTATTATGTTTATTAGTTTCCGTTTGTATGTTTAAGACCTGTAAACATTTTTATTACAGGTATATTTATAGTGACGACTAGCAGCGCTTTACACAGTGCACATTTACATTATATATATATATATATTTCACATAAATCTAATATTTTGCAACATATATAGTGATGTATAAGTTCAGATCCAGATTAAAGAGGTAGAGACACAATTTATTACACTTTTTTTGCTAAATACAAACCTAAAACTAAAACCTCTATGCTTTAAAATGAAGAATCATTATTGTGTAAGCTGATTTCTACTAGTTAAAATAGTGGGGATATATATGGCTATAAATAAATATGGCTAAAGCACAACCACAACCCTATATATAATCCTATGTTTATCAGAGTACAAAATTAATAATTTCCTTATTCTTACTGATGCCTTGTACAGGGTAAAGATCCCGTCATGTACTTCATGCATCTCCTTGATTGACCACAGTTTCGGATAAATTAGATTTAGTAGTATCTGTAAATACCATTGGTCATTTCATGTACAGATCATGGAATAGTACACTCGAATGATATATACTATCTTACTGGTAGAAAAAAAATATAGTATAGTATCTGATATGTCTATAGGCTGTATATCTTGAGAATAAAGCTGAAATTTACAAACTTTTTCTAGTTTTGAGTCATATTGATATGCACATGACTTTAGCCTGTTTTCCGACTACCTTTCTGTCTGCTGACTTTTTACCTTGCCCGTTCGTGTTATAACTCCGCCTGCTTCTCGACTACTCTCCTGGATCCTGATTTTGTACCTGCCTGCCAGTCTGTAGCTGACTCTGCTTGCCTGACCCCAATTTTGCCTTAAAGGAGAACTATGAGGTGAGTGCAAATCACTCAGCTTCATAGTTCTAGCCGGCCTGTGACAATGACACTGTCACAGGTCGGCTCAATAGATCGGGAAGTGAGCGAACACATATCGTCGCTCGCTCACTTCTCGATCGTGTCCATGCAGAGAGCCGTGACTGTCACTCACGGCTCCCTGCAGGGATTCCCCCTCCTCCCCTGTCCGATCCTCCAGCGCTGACTGGCAGAACGGACGGGGGAGGGTGCGGGTACAGCTGGCTCTGCCTCTAGATAGGCAGAGCCAGCTGTCAATCACGCAGCTGGGTGGATCTCGACAGTAATATCGGGATAGGTCCCGGCTGCGGCGTCTCAGTATACCGCGAGCTTTGGGTGAGGGGAGGACGCTAGTTTGTGTCCTCCCGTTACCTTTAGGAGAACTATGGGGAAAAGCCCTGACCCACTGTTGTTCTTTGACTTCAGCCTAGCTTCATTTTGGACTCTACCTACCACAGGTACCTTACAACACCTGGGTGGAAAATTTGTCGGCCGAACAGTGCCTGCATTCATTCAGATGCAGAGACTGTTTGGGTATTCATGCAGCTGCGAGATACGCAGCTGTCTGAATACAATAGCCAGCAATGCAGATCCAGAGTATATGGGAAAATTGAGTGATTCCAAGTGATGCCACATGACTGGCTAGCCTTAGAGGAAAAATGAATTCAGTGTGTGCTCTACTCTCTTCCTCATTGCAAAACTCACATTTGAAAATGGACTTTAATGCAAAAAGTGAAGATTTGCTTTTTTATAGGGAACATTTAGAAATGTTAATTATGCCTAAGCAGTGCCATAGAAAATCCTTTTGGATTTTCTATAAAATGTGCCTTTGCAGTTCTGTGATTGGTTGCCATGCACAGCTGCTCCAGATTTTGTCCGGTCCAGTTTTGATCAATTCCCCTCATATAATGTTTAGAATGAAAGAGTGTATACAGTTCAGTACATTTTTCATAAGAATTAAGTGTGTTTTTACAAGTATTGATTTAATTGCACACACATTATTCCAAACCCAAGGGATACAAATTCTGATAAATTGGTAAAATATGCAATTATTTCTATTACACAATTAGTCATTATTATACATAACCTTCTGACCAAGGAAGCAATATTTTTTGGTGCATAGCCAATATTAGTGTGAGGCCCATCTAATCTTTGCAAAGGAGTAAAATTTCTTCGCCATGGGATCATTTTAAAATGTGGTGTTAACAATGAGAGAGAAAGCTTTAAATATGAAACAGTTTTGCGGGGAGCCAACCTTCTTAATAAATGTCTGATAATAAGCTCCAACTGGTTTCAGATTATTTTATTGCAGTGACAAAAGAGAATAGCACTTATCTAGGCAACCCTTTACGGATTACCCTTGGCCTCCTTTTTCTTGCATAACTACTGACAAAGATAGGAGGAAAGCAGAGGCACCATAAACCTATAGTCTAACATATCTGTAAAAAATAAGTCAAGGCAACTGGACTTGCTGTATTTCTCTTGAATACGTTTCACTGGTCATCCAACCAGCTTTCTCAATTCAGAATGACTACTCCTAGACTCCAATTATGCACCTAATAACACCTCCTAGACTCCAATTATGCAAATGCAATCAACACCTGGTTGCGACTAACAAATTATGTGGATTGGAGCAACATTCACCATATTTATTCCCAGATAATTTTTTTGTACAAGTCATTCTGAATTGAGAAAGCTGTTTGGATAACCAGTGAAACGTCTTCAAGAAAAATACAGCAAGTCCAGTTGCCTTGACTTATTTTTTACAGATATACCATGACCTGGATGCATGAGAACCTTCACAGACTATAGTCTAACAGAAGGTGTTAATATCACACAATACATGTGTTTTGGGGCTTGTCATATTACAGTTTTCTTATGTGTGAAGCAAAGGTCAAATGACAGTGGGAAACTGGTATCAGAGGTGCCTATGATTCAGTTTGTTGTAATGTCTTATGTTTTCTTAGGGGATGTACAGAGATGATCCACTTCTAATTATTACTGTACAGGCGTAGACAGAAATAGTTCATCAATATGTACAGTAGACACCCACTGTTGCACAAAAAGAGTGCCTGATGCTAAATGAGCAAATTCCTCAGTGCATGCATGTTTTAAAGTATAGCATGCTACTAAATTGAAATGTACCTTGCAACAAACAAATATAAAATCCAGTTGTATTACAAGTACATATTCCTATGTATACAGTTATTATAACATTTTATTTACTATCCAGATGTTTTCCTTTTGGGTCTCTGAGAAGTACGCTTCTTCTGCTGTGCTGCCTCTTTATAATATAATAATGTATAAGAAGAAAACAAATATAAAACAACAGTTTAAACATGTATAAACTTAATAAAAACACAACTGAAAAAACATTGACTCAAAACCATTATAGTTTCACCACTAGTTTCACAAAGTTTCACTTTACAATTACTATTGTAAATGTTGTATAGTTATATTTAATATAAATAATTTAAATAGTACAGAATACATAAATACAATTTTCCTTCTTTGGCAGTATTGGAGCCATGGGAGGGGTAAAATCAACACTTTTAGGTGTTTGTATAGTACAGGGGTATTTATCAAGATGATTAATTGATAGTAATTTATGAACAAGCACACATTGTGTGCAAATGTTCTTTTTGACAGTTTCTCTAATTTAGCAGGTATTGTGGTGATCCATGAGAACTAACACTTTTCCATTTGACATAACTCTAACAATGTACAATCTAAATGAGAAAATAGACTATTCCATGTTTTAGCAATATGTTATATTCAAGAAGAAAAAAAATAAAGCGCTAAATACATCTTGTTTTTTTATCACCCCTCTAGGTCTCTAATGTCACGAGAATCTCTTGCCTCTACAACTTTAAGCCTTTCTGAAAGTCATTCTACAATGAGCGTTAAACAGGAATGGTCCCATGCATACAGGATCATTCCTTCTAATCATGGCTCTCAGAATAGTAGTGAGCCGGGTGACATGCTTAGCATTCCCCCAGGAACATCTATGTCCAATAATAGTGTCACCAATTCATTGCCTTCATATTTGTTTGGCATGGAGAACAATTCTTCACCTTATCCTAGTCCTAGGCATTCTTCTCCAAGATCACATTCAGCTCGATCAAAGAAAAGAGCTCTTTCGTTGTCTCCTTTGTCTGATGGTATAGGAATAGATTTTAATACCATTATCCGGACTTCACCAACCTCGTTAGTTGCATACATAAATGGGTCAAGAGCTTCTCCGGCCACTATGTCACCTCAGCCTGAAGTTTATGGGCATTTTTTAGGAGTCAGGGGGAGCTGCATTCCTCCAACATGTCCAGGATTAAACTCTCAGAAAAGTCTTCTTGCTATCAGTGATAATGTATCCATTCCTGAAAATGAATATCAGCGTATGCAGCAGCTGGAACAAAGCAACTTACAATCTGATCTTATGAACAATATGGTGGTTCGGCATGGCATAGTTCTGAATGAAGGACAGACAATGGGAGTGTTAAAGAGTGAAAGGGTGGATGACTTTCCAAATGGCACAATTGAAATGTCATCACAGACTCCTCTTGCTATAGCAGCTCCTTCTCCTCATCAAGGCCCACCACCACCTTATCATGCCCATCAACACATGCACCAACATGACTTGTTAAATCACTCCCACCAGCTGTCTCTTCCACCTCCTGCACAAATTCCTCTACTTGAAGAGGAGGGAGAAATAGATGATTTTAATGGTAAGCACTGTTGCAGGTGGATTGACTGTAGTGCTCTGTATGATCAGCGGGAGGAACTTGTACGGCACATAGAAAAAGTACATATAGATCAGAGGAAAGGGGAGGACTTTGCCTGTTTTTGGGCAGGCTGCCCCCGAAGATATAAGCCCTTTAATGCACGGTATAAACTTCTTATTCACATGCGAGTCCACTCTGGGGAAAAACCAAACAAGTGCACGGTAAGTACGGACAACTTGACCAAGTTTCTGAAAAAGTTTTGTTTGCAAAATATTTTTTTCATGGCTTTACAATATATTGAGGATTACAGATTACATAATGTAATGTATGCTAGAAGACTAGAATTACTTTGTCATGACTGGAAGATTTTAAACTCATAATAGTCAGCTATAAGGCTTGCTGGTAATCTAAACGACCCAGCGGAATTCACTAGATCTTCTAGGTGTTAATTGTGCTCATCGGCATCAATAACGTTCATTTTAATGGCAAAATTATTTGTAAAGATTGTTACATAAATAGAATGAGACCACATGGTGGACTGCATTGTCTTCTTTTTAAAACTGAACATACCCTGATAGACATAAGGCTACAGCTTCTTTTAGAATTTGCCAGTTTCCCAGCTGTTGTGTTTATCCAACTACATGAATGCATAAAGTCCATGAACACAGAACTTCTGATCTTTGCATTTGTTCCAGGTATATATCCAATGAAGCCAGAGAATGAGCACAATGTAGGTGTTTATGACAATGAAGCGTTTGCACATATATAAATCACCTATAGGTCATACTTTTTATCCAGATGAGATCTGATAGATTTCTCTTGTTATTTTTATTGGTGTCGCTATTGTGTTACTTGCTGTTTAGCTGCAATTTTATTTATCTGTGTAGACCAGTATTTGAGTATTATGAAATCACACTGCAAACTGTTTTGGTGTATTATCTAAAGTAAAGTTGTTTTGGTAGAAATATAGGGGCTGCCATTCCCGACATCTTTAGAAGTTGCTTAATCCCTAACTGCTTGACCAATCACTGATTCACCAGTCAGGAAACTCAGAACTGCTTACTGCATACCTTTCCCAGGCTACTGAATCAAACAGCATAATCTTGACAGGGAACTAGCAATTTTTTAAAAGTCAACAGTGGAGGGGTCTGTATTTCTACCATGACATGTTTACTGTAAGTACCAATTGACAATTACTGGGTGGTAAGCAGTTAGAAAATAATCTAATATGAAAAATATATTGCTCTCTGTTACACTGATATGAAGTTCCACAAGAAGATATATATGGCAATTAAGAAAAGTGGCTCATCACAGGTGCCACTGCAAAATGCCAGGGTGCTAGTTTTCTTGCAGAACTCAGGAAAATCAGTCAAAAAAATAAATGAATTACTGCACTGCAGGCTGCTGTAATTTTTCATGTTTATTGAAAAGAAACAGGGGCCATCTCTGACATGTTTCCAGTACAAGACATATTTGAGTTGACCCCTGCTACTACTTGATGAACAGGAATATATTTCCTATTCTGACATGCATGTACAAGCTTGTACCCAATGAGTATGCATGTGCTTTAATCACTGCTAGTTGTGCACATAAAGAAGGGTGAATAAGACAGCAAGTCTAACCCTCTCAGGTACATTCTCAAAATAATTATATAAGGAATCTACATAAGGAAGTGACATTAGAAGTCAAGCTCAGCCTGTCACATCTTGGCCAGGGCTGGGTGGAGAGCTTTCCACCCGAATCCCTGAGAGCTGTAAAGGTGGATGATTATAGTTTAAAATAGAGAGTTCTGTTTTATTGCTCTAAGAAGGAAGATCAGTAATCTGTCTGCCAAATCTTTTAAATGTACTTGAAGGCTTCTGAAACTATGGGGTCTATTCACTAAGCTGCCGTAGGCAGCCGAGTGACTAACCGACCCCAAGGGAAGTAAGCCGAACGTCGTTCAGCTATTCACTTCAGGCTGGTACGGCTGATTCAAGCCGCATATCGGCTGAAATCAGCCGTACATCGGGTGGCTTCGTGTGGCTTCGGGTCGGCCGAACATGCTCAGCATGTTCGGCCGACCCGAAGTGCAGAAGGAGTTCGACTCAGCCGATCCAACATCTGGATCGGCTGAGCCGAACCTCCGGCAGGCTACTCGCTGCTGTTCGGTCTATTCCCATAGATGCCGGCTTTTCTGCTCGGTCCCTCTGTGGGACAGAGCAGAATAGAAAAATAGTTTAAAAAGTAGAAAAAAAATTAGAAAACGATTGTGCGCCCAACTGTTTTCTATTGGCCGGCGGTTCTGCATCAAAAAAAAAAAAGAACACACCATAGGAATGCATAGCTAGATTCCTATTGGCTATTTCACTTTGCAATAGCCAGTAGCAAACTAGCTATTGCACCCGCCCTCTGCTGCTGTCAATCACCAGTGGGGGACCTGATGGAGAACTGCAGGTCCCCCTCTGCTAATTGACAGCAAAAAAGAAAAAAACGAGCAGGGAAAGGTTCACTCTGCTCGATCGAGCAGAGTGAACCTTTCTGGGAGAAAGTGTTTCTCTCCCGGGCGGATGGGAGCCTATTAGACTCCCAGAGCATCCGGAGAGGAATGACAGATGGCGTTCCTGGTTACCACGTAACCAGGAACACCATCTGTCATTACACACTGAGAACACGGAGAGGCCGCTAGCCGAAGGATCAGCCGAAGCTACGGCTAGATCCTTCGGCAGCTTAGTGAATAGACCCCTATGTTTCACTGCAATAAAAACCATATTTTTTTAACGTGTCAAATTTGCAAGCTTCCAATGACAGGCTTCTGAAGGTTTCTATAATACATCAGTGGAAGATACAGTTGCAAATAAAAAGAAGAGCAAGGCATAACAACCAATAAGAACTTGTCTTTCAGTGAATCAAAAAAGAATAATCTGATATTTAATTAGTTTCTATAGTTTACTGCACGTGTGCACATCACCATTGTTTTTATATTCCTTACTTCCTTTTTACCAGCCTCTGTTTGTACAGAGCAAGGTTCCTTTATCTTATACTTTTTTTATACTATAATTTTAAAATGTATATTTTTGCCATATAATACAACTGTAATGTCAATTTAAACATTAGATTTTTTTTCTAGATTTAGGTAGCAGTTTGTAAGACCTTTTTTAAAATATGATTACCTTGGCCAAAAATGGGCACCAAAATGAGCCAAACAAATGATCAGTTATGAATACACACTAATATTGCTCACCTTTAATTTATTATTATTTATCTTGATTTTATACTTTCTCTTTTCTTCCTACCACTGCCTATTCTCTGTTTTCTACTTTCATGTCTTTCATATCAAAATGATCTTGCAACACTTTTATGAAGAATTTGTCAACAAAGAAATGAGGGTTAGTAGTTATGGCAAAAGAAAATTTTAGATTTTATCTTTGTTTTTACTGTGAACTGAAAAAAAAACCTCTGTGTTGCTAGGTTATCCACTGTAAAGGTATTTTACCTAATTTCTGTACACATATTTTGGTGATAGGATAGGATGATTTACTTTACTCTTAAGGGTAAATACTCTTGTGCACAGAGCAATGTTTTTCATTTTCATGTTTTTTCTTTAGTTTATGAATCCAAGAAACATATAATAGGGCCTTTTATTTTCTTTGTATTTTTTGGATAAGAGTCTGGAATGGATTTTTGGGGGACCCCATGCTGTTTTTTGTTTTTTTGCCTGCACTCCCCCTCAAAATCATTACAGATCTTAAGGGTCTGGTATGGATTCTGAGGGATACTCCACACTGATTTTCTTTTGTTTTTTTTTATTTTGTTAGGTCCTTATCCATGCATACAGCCTAAGTGACTAGGTAAAGGGCGATCAGCAAGCGTTCACCCCTCCAAACCAAGCCTTGGAGGGCACATGCCCTAAAAAAATAAAATAGCGTGGGTGTCCCCTTCAAGATCCATATGAGACCCTTATCCTGGAAAAGGGTCTGGTATAGATTTAAAGAGTATCCAACGCAAAAAAAAACAGCATGCGATCCATCGAAAAATCCATACCAGACCCTTACGGTCTGGTATAGATTTTGAGGGGGATCTCAGGCAAGAAAAAAAACAGCATGGAGTTCCCCTTAAAATCCATATTAGACCCATATCCTGTATAAAGGTTTGATATGGATATAGAGGGGGGCCCCCAGCAAAAAAAACAAAGAAAAAAACTAAATCCATACCAGACCCTGGCATCAAAAATGATTTGTTTGAAGAAACCGGTCTCTTGGAAGTATCATAGTTGTAGAGTGTGACCTCCTATGAGCAAACCAAATGTCTCAGCTGAGCCACTGGTTTTTTTTTTTTAGAACATGAAAAAAACATGTTTTTTGAACTATGAGTCACACTTGAGAAATTGACTTTCTGTGTTGCCAAGGGAAGTCCATGCATCAAAACTCACCATGAGGTTGATGGTAACTACAAATAAGCTGCAGAGATCCACAACTGCTAAGATGAAACTGCCCATTGGACAACTATACCTCATTTACCTCATTGCTGAGAAAAGTATATATGAAATTTAATTTACAGTTTGCAAAAAATGCATGTGGGTGGACAAAGCAAACATGTAGAGAAAGGTTCTGTGCTGCAAAGACATCAAAGCTTTTTTTAAATTTGAAACTTTCCCTTTGGCACATTACACTAGGTGTAGCAAAAAAAAACCCAAAACATAAAAAATAAAAATGCTCATTAGCATTAGCAATCAGCACCTAGCAAGCATGATGGTGGTAGCATTATGTTATGGAGCTAGTTTTTGTCACTAGGGACTAGAAATATGTTCAGAATTAAGGGTAAAATGTATAATCTAAATATATTTCTATTCTAAAGGAAAAACTTCTTCAGTTTTCAGGACATGTGAGAATGGGGTAGACATTTACCTCCCAGCAGGCCACTGGCCCTAGTCAAATGTAAATTTTTGTGTTTGCAACCCAACAGCCTGCATATTTTTATAATGGCCCTAACCACAATCTTCACAATCTGTGGGCGAGTCAGGATAGAGAGCGACAAAGCTTACTGTGTTATAAATTAATAGGAAATGCTTTACATCACTTCCTGTTCATTCATGATTGTGGACACTGATAATGATAACTGACACTATCTCCCCAATTTATGAATGGATAGGAACACTCAGTACAGAGGCTTCCTGTTTATAACTGGGGCTGCAGAAAAAGAGATTAAGGACTCTGTGTTTTCAATCTCTTTTTCTATTTCA